CTTGTCCTGAGGCAGGGCATCTGGAGGCACTTTCCTTCTTTCTCTTTCTCTCTCTCTCTGTTTTTTTTGGTTTTTTTTTTTTTGGTTTTTTTTTTTTTTTTTCAGAATGTGTGGGGGAAAAAGAGCTGAGCAGGCAGGAAAGAGCTACTTTTCCAGCAGTTACACTCCTCATAGCAGCAGGTGGCTAAACCAATGCAGGTACCCTGGGCAGAGGATTACTGCAAGGAAATCCTGTACTATTTGTTTTGTGAAGAATTTTTTTTTTCCCCTGGTGGTGTGGCTTCATGGAGTTTGGAAGTTGCCCAGTTTCTGAGATTTCTGATTTTTTCAGAGTGAGTCCAGGATGAACATGAACATCCCCAGGACCCCAAGGGGACCTGTGGAGACATCGCCCAGCATGTCCTGCCCTCTGCTGTCTACATTTAGATGTCTTTGGGGGAAATGTCCCTGTAAGGAGAGGAGGAGGGTATCTTGGGGCTGAGGGAAGACTAACGCTGTGGTGCTCTAGCTGGAGAAGGACAAATGCCTGGTATCCAGCTGTGTTTACAGCCTTGTCCTATGTTCCCTTGGCTTCTATGAAAACCACAAGTGGAGAAAACCTCCAGGCTCAGCCCAGGAACTGTGTGCTTTTTTTTGCATCGGTCCTAGCTGTGGACTGATTGAGAAGCTGCCTCAGAGGTCTGCTCAAGTGCAGTTGCCCCTCTTCGGGCTATACATCATTTCGCTGCATTCTGAAATGCTCCTGCACTTCAGTGCTGGTGAAGCAGAGGTTCAGCTTGTCCCTGGGAAGGGCTCTGAGGGGCCGGGGATCTCAGTGCTGGAGAAATGCCCTCTCTGTTTCTGCATGCACATCCTGGTGAGCACTAGGAGAGGTTTCTCCAGAGCTGTGGCATTAGGCATCTGCACGCAACAGGCTTGTGAATAATTCAGTATACAGAGCCATGGCTTGCTTACAACATTAAACTGTTGAAACAGACAAATGGAAATAAAATAATAACTTGAGCTTAAACATGTAGGCTGCAGCAACTCAAGAATTTATTATGTTATCTGCTACTGTAGAACAGAATTTTAAATGGATATGTCATGTCAGAGCCTTTTTATTGTTTTTATTTTTTTTTACATGACTGTTGAAGAATATACTACTGTGGAAGATATCAGCATTCCAGGCCTTTCCTATATTTGATTATAGCTGATAGCAATCAAAGTAATTTTACTGCCAATAATAATGCTGGCAGCAGCTTAATTTAATAGCATGGAGGCTAGATCTTATTTATATCATTCTTCAAATGTTGATAACTTTAAATGTAACTACAAAATATTTCTGCAATGAAAACTTAAAATATGGGATATTTAATTTAGTGCCCTGGCCTCACTGCTTAAAAATGTTCAGACTACACAAACACATACTTACACCAGTTATTTTGCAGATGATTTTTCCATGAAACATGGGCTTTTTTCACGACAATCTGAGAACTGCTGATCACTTTATCACTGTAAAGCATGTGAAGACTAAAAACATGAAAATACTTGAAAAATCAGTCTTCTGTGAATAACTTTGCACTTTGCCAAAAGTAAATAAATAACAATGGGAAAAAAAATACATCTATTAAGTGATTTTTCCACATTCAGTTTGCTTTCCTAACCTCAGTAGTCTCAGAATTGTATTATTGCCACACCAGATTACTACCACCAACTTTGATAACTACGTCAGAGTTACACCACTAGAAAGGACAGAGTTTTATCCCATTATAATTATGGGATTTATGCCACTAACTTCGGATGAAGTGGATGCACTTATAAAAAACAGCAGGTCTTGACCCACAGGCCATGCCATCTCTGAGATGAATACTGTAGCTGTTAGTGATGTGGTGCATGAGCACTGTTTTTCTTTGATTTATTTAAAGATATTTGCTCATGTATAGTCTCACAATCATTGCCACTGAGATCTTACTGACATACCCATTGCCCTGTGCTCAGCAATTTCAATGCTGGAGCAAGCAGGTAAGGATGGGAAATGACAAAATTCACTCTGCTTTCCTTGTCTGCTAGAATCTCTTGAGGTTTAACCAGAGCAACATTGAAATGGTCTCCTGTCACTTGTAGTTTCTTAAACTCCAAGAGCTAATTTTCTGGAAAATTTCATTCACAAACTGGCATCAGGTTTAAATGGTGAACAGGAAAAACATTACATTTTCATGCTTTCAGAGCACTTTGACACAGCTGGTTAATTCTGTGATAGGAGGTAACATTATCCCCTGCATTGGAAGAAGAAGCAAAGTCAGAGGAGTTACACATGAGATGCTCAGTGACAAACAGCCCCAGATGACTCTGAGACTCCAGACCATCTAGGGGTTTGATGCTGTATTCAGGCGGCCGAGACAGGCATCCTCCCCTAGGGGAAGAGAAGTTCAGGGAAAAGAGCAGTCATGTTACCTGTGCATACACAGGGTATGCAATGCTGTGAGATGTCCAGAGTTGCCACCATTCGTCAATATGTGCATATTTGAAACAGTACCGTCCATTGTTGTGAACAGATGATGTAAACGTGATCAAGGAAAAGGCTATTGTTTTTTTAACCTTCTCCTCCACCATCCTCTTCCCTTATATTTTTTTTTCAATGAGGTTTTTAAGATGACATACCTACAGTACCACCTGAAAAACATGCAGTCAAAAATTGGAAAAAGCAAGGGAGAGCAACTGGTTTAGAACTGGGATAGAATCATACAACCATTTAGGTTGGAAAAGACCTTCAAGATCACTGAGTCCAACCATCAACCTTACTTACAGAGTCCCCTCACTAAGCCATGTCCCTAAGTGCTATGTCCACACATCTCTTAAATACCTCCAGGAATGGAGACTCCGCCACTTACCTTGGCAGCTCTTTCTAATGCTTGGCCAAAAACTCCATGAAAAAAATCATCCTAATATCCAATCTAAACCTCTCCTGGTGCATCTTGAGATCATTTCCTCATGTCCTACCACTTCTCACTTGAGAAAAGAGACAGACACCCTCCTCACTTCAACTTCCTTTCATGTAGAGTGATGAGATTTTCCTTCAGACTCCTTTTCTCCCGACTCAACAGCCCAAGTTTCCACAACCACTCCTCATAATTCCTGTTTTCTAGTCTCTTCACCATCTTTGGTGCTCTTCTCTGCACAGTTTTGAGCAACTCAATGTAGTGTTGGGCCCAAAACTGAACACAGTATTCAAGGTGCAGCTTCAAGAGAACCAAGCACAGGGAAACAATCATTTCCCTAGTCCTGCTGGTCACGTTACTTCTGATGCAGGATGCAAGGAGATATTTATGCCAGCATTGCCAGCAACACTCCCATGTTGTCCTATAACCTGCCTCTGACGTACCAAGCAGGATTTTTCTGGGGAGTGGTTTGACAGCCTCTAGCCAGGATCCGAATGGTAGTTCCTCATGATAACACCACTTCAGATGTTAAAAACAGCCAAAAGATCTCCAAAAAATTGATAGGAGGTGGATCAGGGAGTGCAGAGATCATGAGCCAGGGAAAGAAGAACTGGAAACCTTGGTCAGCCCAGGGGATGTTTCTACAGGTAGCAATCTCCCTTTGCACCAGTTTTGGAGAAAGTATACCCTTGTCTACATTCCCTGCTCCCAGAAGTTCCTACCTATGTCCATCTCCATACCAAAATGATAAGCCTAAGGTGGGGTGGTCAGTGGGTCTCAGCTCTCTTCCTCTCAGAAAGCCCTCGCCTAAATACAGTATTCAAAAGATCTCACCTAAATAAGTTAAAAACAAACAATAAAAACATCCATGTTCTTGTGTGGAGTGAACTGCTTGTCTGCATTAGTAGACTTTGTGCTAAAAGACAGAAAGAATTGTGTATTTATTTCCAAGATTATTAAATTACATATAGAATATGCTTCCTGAGTATTAGCAGAGTTTGTATCTGAATTCATCCTATCCATGCTCTGGTTACATCTAATGAGGATAATTATTACATGGCTTAACTATAATTCAGTATTGACTCTTTTGTGCATGAAAAGCTTTTATTGGCAAGCATCATCCGAGAGCTTCAACAAAAGACATCTTTAGCTTGTGTAAACATTGTTGTTTGAAGGTCTCACCCTAACCTGCTTTAGGCTAAGTACTTTCTCCTCAATTGAGTTAATATAGCCAAAATGATATAAGGGTGGGATTAGATACTGGCTTACACCACAGGAAAAAAATGAAAGTTGGACAGGGAAAAATGCAGTTAATTCCATTCTGTCAGCAGTGGATATTAAAGATTATTAGTTGGCACACTCAATTATGTGTGAATCACAATAGTAGTACTGTTACTTTTTGATTTAATTTTACAGGGGCAGGTAAAAGTGTAGGTTTAGGATCATCTGTGGTGATTATTTTTTTACTTGCAGGGATTTGAGGAAACATCTATGTGTAATAAAATGTCCCACTGTTTACATGGGTAAATGTAAATGGGTAGAAATGAAAGTCTGCCTGTCAGGAGTATGACTTTGGCTGCCGTTTATGAATATATTTCTTTAGGCAGTAACTAGTTATTCTGTTTAGTAATTGTTAAAATGATAAACCAACAAATATAGCTCTCTTTTTTGCTGCTTCCCTCTGCTGGATAGAGCCAGTAGTGCTTAGCTTTGTGTCAGTCTCATTAACAGCCACCATAGTCTACCACCACCTTGATAATGGAGAAACTGGATTTTCAGGGCAGAGTTAAGTCTGAATCTTCTTCTGACACTCATGGTGAATTTTTCAGTCTTCAGGTTAATCAGGAGTCACAGAAACTCACAACAATATAAAGTCCTTGGGTCAAATAAGTCCCAGTCTCCATGCCCCTGGCCCTAAGGTAGGCTGAGAGCAGGGCAAGGAGGTGTACTGCATAAGAAGTCTAATTAATTATTGAATTTACATTTTGAAAATTGTGTGTTTTGTTTGTTTGCTGGATTTTTTTTTTTTTTTTAACAATATAAACCTCTGAAGTGTTGTTTGTGCTTTGTTTCTTTTTGTAGGTTTTTGATAACCAAAAGAGACCGCTGTGACAATGCACTTTGAATGCTTGACTGCAGTTCCAAGACCAGTAACAACACTAGTTGAACTAGAGCATATATTTTAGGAAAAACAAACAAACCCAACCTTCTAATCTTGGTTTCCAGTTTCCAGTGTCAGAAGGCCTCCCACAGCACGGTGACATTCTCATGCCAGAGTCCCCTTGTACAGTTTACATCCCCTCACATGGCAGATGAGTCTCATTTGAAGATTTAAATACCCAGATTCCTCTTTCATCCACTGTATCTTGTACATTTTTTCTCTCCAAAACTGACAAAGCCAGTCATCATATGTGTGTGGCCTGTATGGGTACTTGATGTGAAGCAGCTTGGACAGCTGTGTAGCTGTCTGAGTGCCCAGACGTAGGATTTTACAACCTCTCATTCAGTTGTCCCATCAGTGCCCATTCCAGAGAAGGACTAGCACTTCAGAGACAGTGGTGGAGCTGATGTTCATCTGAATATCCACAAAGATCCCCAAGTCCCTTCAGAGATACCATTTCCCAGACTCATAAATGAAACCTACGTATTTTGTGCTTAGATGTCTGACTTTTAAAGTTGATTGCACCGAAACGTGTCATTTAGGCTAAATTTAACAAGAAATTTAGACTGCTGATCTATGTTCTTTTAAGATATGTTTGTCTTAGATTTTACAGCCTGAGCAAGGAGTTCCAAAACAATCTTTTTGTACATTTTTGTCACATGCTGTCCTTCAACCAATAGTTTATTATGGCTGGAGTCATCCTGAGTTACTGATGCTAATTCCAAGCAGGAGTGGAGATCCTATTCAAAAGAGAGTTCTCTTCTATTAGCATGTTAATCCAGTGTCTTTGGTCTAGAGACATGCACAGCACTCTTTGGGTCATTGAGTTAAAACCCTCAACTACAGCCAGCTCCCTGGTCTACCAAGCTTCTGCTCCATGTGATCCTCAAAGCAGCAAACTTCATCACTGTGTGAAAAACTGGAGATCTATAATACAGGAGGAATGGAAATCATAGCTAAAGAAAAGACCACCTCCAATAGCTTTGGTCCCTATGACAACAAAGAATGTCGTAACAGAACTGAAGCTCCTGGATGCTCCTGGGAAGTAGTCTAAGCTTCAGCTGGGTGGACCGATGTTTCAAGCTTCAGTAGCTTTTGCTATTGAGCAAAATCAATTTTCCACTTTTCCTACAATATTGGTCCCAGGAAATAATGGTCTGTTGGTCTAATGCTAGTGTGAACACTAAGACTCTTTGACTATATCTTGTTCCTCGCCATCAGTTTATTCAGTGCTTCAAGGGTAGGGAAAACCACAACCCAGAAACAACTTGTTCAACTGAAAAGTGGAGGGAAAAAAAAAAAAGGTTTCCTGGTCTCCCAAGTAATCAGTGAAAGTCCAGAAATATTGGTTCAGTATTATATAAATGCATAAATGCATTAAGTATCTACTACTGTTCAGCACCACCCCCTCCTCCCCCCCCATGCCCCCTTTGTAACTGGACATCCAGAGAGCTCTGCTGTAAGTTTAATTCTCTATTTCCAGGAGCTGACTCATTCTGTGCCTTGGTGGGGTTATCACATTTCTTCTTAAAACTTTTAATGTAACTTTTCCTTAATACCCTGTTTGGAAAACTTACACCAAGACTGAAATCTCCAGATGGGTAGGAAGGAACTTTTTATTAGGCTTAACACTCTCTAAGTTTTTTTTCCTTGATTATTCTCCCCAGGCACCAGAGGGTGTCCAGTATTATAGCTAACTGTGCCACATTATCACTCTGCTCTTCAGGTTACCACTTCAAGACACCACAAAATCTCTGTTGACATTCCCTGCAGGGAGGATAAAAGCTGCACCAGAGCAGCTTGGACCCTCATAGGTGAATGGAGGAGTTTTGAGTGAATGAACCACACACTTGGAGTCATGTTCACATTGACACTGCATGTTGATACAGGTCTGGTTTATCATGTCACATAGACTAAATGTATAGGAGCAGACTCTTGACATTTAAATAAGTGACCAAAAAAAAACCCAACTCATTATCTCCTGGGTAGTTCTGTACATGATTTCAAGTATCTGGTGCTGCTCTCCCAGCAGCATGCAGCGTGCTTTGGTTTCAGCAGGGTTGTGGTGGTTGCTGATCAGGCCAGAGAGCTTAGAGCTTCCATGTCCCAGCAAGGACTTTTGCAGAAATCAGGCCCTGGGAAGGAAGATTTTCTCAGCAGGTGCAGGGTATTGCTTTCTGTTGGCACAGCAATTTTGGCTTGGCTAAGATGTATATTTACTTTATGTAGCTTTGAGTGTAATAAGAATGCTAGCAAAAACCACTTGGAAAAGGAAAAAAGGAAATGTTAAACCTTAACTCTGCATTCTCAATTAAATGATTACTCCTTCAGGATGAAATTGTTCTTGATTCTTATTGTAAACCTTTCAATTTCTTACATAAATAGCATGATTATATTTACATAAATAGTTGCACCCTGGAGTACAACAATCCTATTGTACACAAAAATCCTATTAAAATTTCCTGAGAGAAGAACTTTCCTGGTTTGAGCAATGGTCTGTTATGCATGAAACCAGAACTTCTCACTCCTTTCTTCATTCAGAGCCAAATCATGTCTTTAGATGCGTACACCCAAAAACAGCACTGATCCCTTAGAATTCAGTCCTAGGCTCCAGTATAAGAAAGCACTTTTGTAATTGAACTGCTAATATTTCAAAGCAATATAATGCACTTCTGCATTTTTTGGAGGCTGATTATTTAGAGGTGACATAAAAAATATACCCAAAGGTATTTTGTTCATCTTTGAAAGAAACAGCTGCAACCTAGTCTTCTACCTAAAGAAATTGTGATCAAATATGTAGGCAAGAAGGAACCTCTGTCTTAATTCATCTTTCCAGCATTTTGCAACTCTAAAGAAAAAAACTTACAACAAAATCTAGATTAATATTTTTCCCATCCGTAGAGCAATGTCAGCATATAAAGCTTTAGTTTTTAAAATGTGATGTAAAGTAAAATATGGCCCAGTATTCTCTCTCATCCACTTGGATCAAGAGGCACATATCACTTTTTGATCCTAATTGCAAACCAAACCTTTGCATAAATAGCGGTAGATAAGCAAGTATCTTTGGATCAGTAGCTATTTATTGAATCAAAGTATTCACACTGTAGAACAGCATGTGGATACTAACTGCAACGGTGACTATGCTGACAAGTTGGTTATCAATCCTGCTACTGATACAGTTTGTGTGCATTCTGATATGAGTAGGGGAAAAAAAAAAAAGTTTCTTCACAATCAAAGAGTATTTGGAGGATATGAGGATATAGAGAGTATAATAATATCTATGAGTATGTCAGGAGTATAAACAAACAAACAGAAAAGTAATCAAAGTAATCGAGGGTTTGACTCAGAGAGACCAACCCTTTTTTAATTCTCAGGGTCTCTGCACACATCCTATCAACTTTATTTCAAAGTAAGATAAAAAGTAATTTAATAGGGGGCAAACGTATCCTTTTTAATTAAAAAAAATACCCCTCTATTTAGCTAATACTCTCTGAAAACATTGTTTTTAAAAATTAAGTCAAAATCTTTATCTACAATCTTTTTATCTACAATAACATGTCTACAAAGTAATCCATTTCCACTTTTAAAAAAAAGTAAAGAAAAAAAAGTAAGAAAGAAAGAAAGGGGAAAAAAAGAAAAAAAGAAAAAAAAAAAAAGACATGAAACCTCATTCCCAATTTTACCTGAAAGTTTTAGTTTTTGTTTCACCAAAATTACAAATTTGGTAATCAGTATCCAGCGGACAAATGTAATCCAAACATCTAGTGAATGATTTTCCTAGTATTGTCAAGTAGCTCTGCAGGAAAGATATCTTTGTGTAGATCCTGTCGTGACAGGGAGTGCTCACAAGGGTCCTAAAGAATTCTGTAATATTTTGAAACCAAGCAGTTGTGTGCACAGGAATAAAAGTAAATGAAGCAAAGGTGGTAAGAAACATTTGTAATCTGAAATGCAGGAGTCGAGATGCCTAGCAGGCAGTAACCATAGCAGGTGAGTAAAACGAATATCCCATGCTACTGCAGTCTGGACACACCATCCAAATTATTTTGTTGAGAGCTGACAAATCTTTGATTTTGAGAGCGATGGCTAGTGACAATATATTTTTTATTTCCTGACGCAGCATGAATCTAAGAATGTTTCTTATTTCATATGGGAATGATTTCAGGATGCTAGCGACATAACATTCAGGGAATGAACAGTCTAAAATTTCTATAAACACCAGAATCAAGGCATTTATGAGTTTTAGTAAAAATTTTATTGAAGTCTGGTCATGTTGGCATATTGTGCATTTTAAATGTAAATTAGATTACTGGCAGTAGATTCAATTTAGTGGTAAAAATGTAAAGAAAACAGTTGGGCTACAGATGAAACAATAATGTAGCTGTTCTTTAGTTAAGAGAACAGTGAAATCCAGAAACAAATGGTGTTTGGGAATATTTATGGTAGAGGAAACATGCTGCATACGATTAACTTTGTCAATTTTATGCAGCACAGTAGTTTTTGTTCAGCTTTGAAGAACAGTTTCTGATAGTGAACATATGATAGGGTGAATGGATGGCTCTGAGGATTTACAATGGAAACTGAAATCCTTTCATCTTCAGCTCACTTGTTAAAATGCAGCCCAGGCTGCGAGAGATCAATGCTGATGGCTTTGTGTGTACAACTTGTTTGACATGACACCGGGTCTCCTCCTTCCTCCATTACAACATTTCATGTTCAAAGCCTGTGTGACTAAAAAGGACCATACCTCTAGGTATTGCATTGGCAGTTGTAGGGGAAATCCACTACTGGGGTGTGGGCAGTCGTCTTCTCACCCTGCCTTGTCCCATACTTCTGATGGGTGTCCCTCACTGCATTGCTCTCCGGAGAGAAATCACTTGTTTATCAAACATGTCATAGACACCTTTCAAAAGCTTCCATATCTAACATAAAAAGTTTAGAGTGTGGGTAGAGAAGGAGCTGTTTTATTGGACTATAAAGAAGCGTCAGAATGTGTTGGAAAGCGAACCTCATTTACCTCAAAGATGCAACTGTGCTGGAGCATGATGATTTTGCATGTACAGCAATCAGTGCAGCTTGCAAATGGGTAGACTGGTACAGCTAAATGAAAGTTTAAATACAGATATTTAATTAAGTCAAATCTGCTCCAGTCCAAAGCCATTAAAAAAAATTCATTCTTTACTCACACCTAAGACATGCCCCACTGACCCATTGTTATTTCTGCTGTAAAACATGAAATGGTAGGAAAAGAAAAGAGAGTAAAATTAGTGAGAAATCACTCTCCCATACCAATCTGCCAGGCTAAAGGCAAGTGTCAGAGTATTGTCTTGTGAGTAACAGACACTGAGGTTAAAATCCTGTTCTTTGATGAACTAAGCTAAACTCCCTTTGGAAATGAATGGTTGGAGTAGCAAGAACTTCCCCCTAACTATGGATGAAAGATACCAAAACAAGGCTTGGACAAAGACCCTGTGGAGGAGGGAGGATGCTTATTATTATTATTATTATTATTATTATTATTATTATTATTATTATTATTATTATTATTATTATTATTATTATTATTATTTTTGGTAAACCCTCTGGGGTGTTGCCTGTTTCTCTATGTATTGACCATAGTTAGCAAAACTTCTGCTTGATTTTTTTATGTAGCAAACTCTCCAACAGAAAATTTAAAGGTGAATACATCTTCCAGTTGTTTGACAGGATGGGCTGGAGATGGTGGGTTACAAGTGCACCTTGAATGAGAGTTGTTCAGGCACTGCAGTGACTGACAGTGTTAAGAAGCTCAAAGTCATGCAGAAACACAAGTAAAATGTGAATAACACAAAATTACTGGTTGATGTTTTTCTGATTGCAATAAGAGTAATTGCATGTCGTACTGAACTTCTGAGATCATAGTGTGACCACAATAAGTGTTTAGAAGATGATAAAAAGTTTATTGGCTATGTCGACTAGCTGCTGCCAGACCCCAGTGCTGAAAGACAAGTCTGTGGTCCATTTGTGCCTGTGCTCTGCCCAGTGCCTTGCAAGACACGGCTGGAGAGAAAGCCTGCCCTGACTGACAACAACAAAGGGTTTGCTAGTGAGTTGCCCATCCACTGTATATGCTCAGGTGTTTTGCATTCTTGAACATCATTTAAAAGCCATAAGGGAAGAGAAGAGGGGGAATGAGGAGTGTTACAGTAAGAAGTTCTGCAGTGTGCTGAGGACAGGAGACAGTGAACAGTTAGGGGACTTATTTTGAAAGGTTTCTTTTGCCTTTAGCAACCATTACAGGTACCTTTCTGTTTTAACTTTTGAAGCAATTGCTTTTTGAATCAATTGGGTTTGTAATGAAAAGTTGTAATTTTTGGTACCAATTTTTTTTGTGCTTTTTGTTACTTAAAATCTCATAGACAATGTAAGGAGGAAAAAAAATTAAGAAAGGAGACTTGCCTCTTAAGTTTGTTTGAAACCCTTTTCCCACAGGATTCATTGGTGGTAGAACAATTTGCTGATCAGAATGAGAAACAAACATAAGATGTCATGAAAAATGATAAAAAGAAAGAAACTTCAGATGAAATAGGAAGTTTTAATGCAAATCATATTTGACCTCACTCTTTTATAAGAGCTCTTCATTCTTGTGTCTCAGTGAGCTAGCATTGTGCATTGTTGCAGGACTTCAGAATTAGGGTTTTGAAGTAGTTGAAAACAATTATTACTTACAATATTAATTATGGTTATATTTTTAAGGTAAAAATGTGTGCTTTTTAACCTTGATGGGGTAGTGTGATAGGTGCATTATGGGGCAAGATAGCAGAGATGGTCACCTGGAACTGGTTTTGCCTTTGGATGTGTCATTCTTGTTGTTGGGACCTATGGCTGGGCAGCATCCTGCTCCTCCATTAGCAACACTCTTCTTTTGGGTGGGTATAGACTTTACATACATTACCACTTCTCTTATGAACTAGTTAGTTTTTGGGAAAAGGCTTCAAGTTTGAATGTACCCCTTTGCTTCCCACAAGTTTCCAACTCTGTACTTATTAGTCAGCACAACTTTCATTGTTTTATGTCATGTACAAATTGGAATTGTTTTGGCAAGAGCCTTTGACACCTCCTCTCAAGTGGGAAGTTCACTTCAGTGGTTAAACACTAGCTGGAGATCTGGGAGACTGAATCTAGTGTTTTGCTCTCCCATTGTTTTCTATATGCCTTTGGCTAAATCACTGAAGGAGGAGGAATTCATCTCATCTGGATTCAGCTGTTATGAATTAGGCATATAATCTGAGTTTGTCTATGCTCCCTCTGTGGTCAATGGAGGGAGACAGGCAACTCCAGGAGATGATTCATCCCTTTCAGAAGTGTCTGCTCTATCCAGTGATTACAGGAAGATCAGGCAACTAGCTGAGATTCATACACCTTATTTTCTGATGCATAAAATAAGTCATATTGAATCTCACACTTACTCTCTATTTTCTGGCTGTAACACAAAAAAGGGAATCCATTAAATCCATTAAAACAATGCAATACGATGTAGTTATTCAAATTACCCCCCAAAAATAAAGGGGTGGGGGGTG